CTCTCACCCACTCCCCCCATGTAGGTCAGTTATGAAGATGTTGAAGAGTACTAAGGCAGAACCTGGGGGACCCTCACTGCAAGCTTCTCTCCATGTAGATGCAGCTCCAAGGGCTACATCTTGTATGTGTGGTTGGTCAGCCAGTTCCAAATCCAATAAGTTCACATGGTGCCATGGGATTGTGTGTTTGTTAGTAGGATTTACTGGGTTAGGGATTTTCTGTCTTTCACTGTGCGTTGTATTGTGTTGGGGGGCGTGCACGAAGGGAGGCTCAGCCAATCTCATTGTACACATGTTGTATTCTGACAATAAAGGTTCAAAAATAGTAGTGATGCTGTCTATCTAACATTTTTCCTCTCTTACCCAGTGGACTGTGGTCTACTTTATCAAATGCCTTACCAAGTATACTCTATCCACAGTATTTCCCTGGTCCACTAACTTAGTCACTTTATCAAAAAAAAGCAGTAACGCTTGTTTGGCCTGATCTGTTTTTAACAAACCCATGCTGGTTTCCAGTAATCGCCTTGTTCATCCTAGATGCTCACAAATCTGCTCCTTGATTATCTTTTCCAGGATTCTCTCAGATATTGCTGTCAAGCTGATTGGTTTTCTAGATCCACTTTTTTCCCCTTCTTGAAGATTGGAATCACATTAGCTCTTTTCCAGTCCTCTGGCAGTTCCCCCATGGTTCAGGAGCTCTGAAAGATGTTTGCATTTGTACAATATTGGAAAAACGAGGAAAACCTCCCTCCCCAGATGAAAATATAATCTCTGTGCAAAGATGGATAGACTGACATTAAAAATAAAAGATAAAGCAGATACAGATAATAGGATGGGAGAATGGGAGCAAGGCCACAGGTGGACGATGAATGCCCCCTCCCATCGGGATTAAAAGAGGAGGCGGCTTTTGCAGGAAACAACTCGGCTCTTTTGGCCATGTGTTTGTTCCAGCCTTGTGGATCTTGGTCTGTAAACCCAGCCTTCCCTGCCAACAGTGAGTGTGGAACTGTTTACCGGGCAGTGTTCCAGGATTGATAACAGTCTGAGATAAGTTAGTCCACCTTTGCGAGAATGTGTGCCAAGCTGTTGGATGACTGTGAATGAATTAATTCACATTGTTGTAAATAAAGAGGTTTTTGCCGGGACCCAGAATTGACTGAGTGCTTTCGGGTGAGGCCTAGGACAGAACATCCCTGGGTCTGTACGTTCCACAGACTCATTTCCACCATTAATCATCCCATTGATGCACTTGCTTTCACAGCAGCTAAATGGGATCCTCAGACCATCAAAGAAGAGTGGTTTGATACCAGTTGACAGATGTGTGAAGCCTGTAATGCTTCAAGGCTTGGACAGCAGCTGACCAGCTGGAGGAAACTGCGTTATGTGTTCATTATTGTAGAGTAATAATGAGAGCTGCTAATTAAATTGTTTCTAGTAGAACAATTATTGGCATTTTAGTAAAAAAAATATACTGTATTATGGTAAGGGTATTTTTGTCATGCACACCTACTTAAAAACCCAATGTAGCTTTTGTTGTATTTCTTTTTATAAAAAACCTCATGTTTATCAAGGTATGAAAAGAGATATTTGGCCGGAGAAGGCTGGTGGGACTGGATTGCAAAGTTGCTGGACTTTTGAGTTTGGGGTAATTCAAATAGCATACTGATTCTTCTGTGCAGGGTATTCCAACATTTTTTTAAAAGCTCCTATAGTTCTGAGTACTTTTAAGTATCCTTTAATCTCGCTTACTGATAGATATTTATTGAATGAAAAAAGATTTCATTATTTTTTTATTGTTTATATTTTGTTAGTGCTTGATAAACATCGTGTTGTCTGGGTTATTTAATTTGCGTAACAATGCAGATTACATTCTTAATCTCCACCTCTTTTTTCCAACTCCTGGTAAAATAAAGTCCATGTTTGATAATATTCTGTGTGTTCTTTCTGTTTGATCTTCAACATAAGTCTCTCCATTTCTGCACAATATCTTCCTAATTATTTCTTCGTCTTGCAGTGTTTCTTCATTTTTCCAGTATTATGCAAATATAATCCTCACTGCTGTTAAGACATGCAATATTAAACATATGCTTTGCTTATCAAATTTTTCTGATGTTATACCCAATGAAAACATTTCAGGTTTAAAATTGACACGTTTCCCTATCATCTTTTCTAACCATTTATGTATTTTTGCCCAAATTTATTTTTGCTTTAACACAAGACCACCACATATAACGTGCCCATTTTTTGGTTACATTTCCAACATTTGCTAGGCACATTTTTAAACATTTTAGCTAACCTAGCATGAGGTAAGTGCCAACTATAAAACATTTTATATAAATTTTCTTAATAAGGAGTTGCCACTGTTAATTTATAGTTCCTTTCCCATAAGTTTTGCCACTTCTCTATTTCAATATTATAACCAAAGTTTTTTATCCACTGTGTCACTCTGTCTTTTACTTGTTCGTCCTCCATTTTCCATTTTAGTAAAAAATTATATATTTATTGAATGTTTTTGTCATACCGATCCCCAAATCAGAATTGTGAACAGGGGTCATAAGGTTCATCAATCCAGCCCTCTACATTGTGTAAGAAAATTATGAAACCATAAATGACAGGTGACAATTGTAGGTCGTCTAATCCAACCGCTTGCACAAGCAGGAGGCCCTAACCATTTCTGACAGATCCAGTCTCTTCTTGAAAGCTTCCAGGGATTAAGCTCTATCTGTCATCTATCTATCTATCTATCTATCTATCTATCTATCTATCTATCTATC